TGGCCTGGACTCCTGTCCTCTTCATGTTCCTCTCTTACTGCACAGGTAGGAACATGCCTCAGAGCCCCAGAGCAGCTCCCAAGTCTGTGTCAGCCCCTTTGGCTCAGAACACCAGATACTTTACCCTGGTCTCTACTCCATAAATGTCTGTGTTTGCAGGTTCCCTCTCCCAGCCTGTGCTGACTCAACCACCGTCCGTCTCTGCATCCCTGGGAGCATCTGTGAGATTCACCTGCACCATGAGCAGTGGCTTCAGTGTTGGTGATTTCTGGATACGTTGGTACCAACAGAAGCCAGGAAGCCCTCCCCGGTACCTTCTTACATTCCATTCAGATTCAGACAAACACCAGGGTTCCGGGGTTCCCAGTCGATTCTCTGGATCCAGTGATACATCCACCAATGCAGGGCTTTTGCTCATTTCTGGGCTCCAGCCTGAGGATGAGGCTGACTATTTCTGTGAAACTTATCATGGTAATTCAAAGACTTTCACAGTGCTCCAAACTTACGGGGAAGTGAGACAAAAACCTCCCCATTGCTCTGCTCTGCTCTGCTCACAACAGAAGCTTGGGAGGTTCTTCCACCTCCCCCAGTGTTGGGTGGGCTCTCAGAGCTGAACAAACAGAGCTTCATAGACAGTCCTCAGTCCTGGGCCAGAGCATCCTCAGGGCATGGCCACTTTGGGTCAGCAGAAATGCTGGCCCCAGAGGTCCTGTCCCCTATATGTTCCCTATTCACCTCCCAGATCCAATAATGCCCTTGTCTTGGTGTCCTCACTTATGGAAGGGGATCAGGACATTGTCTACTTCACAGGGCAGTGGTAGGATGAAATGAAGTTATGGATATGAACTCATCACAGTGTGGCTCAGACTCAGCTGCTGTGATCATTGTCACCACAGACTCTGCCTACTATAGGAACAGATGCTCTAGGAATGTTCTCTTCTGATTTTTTCCCTGATTTTTGCTCTTCCCCACAATCCTATTCCCAAGACACACTCACTAAGGGAGGGATGNAGGGCAGTGGTAGGATGAAATGAAGTTATGGATATGAACTCATCACAGTGTGGCTCAGACTTAGCTGCTGTGATCATTGTCACCACAGACTCTGCCTACTATAGGAACAGATGCTCTAGGAATGTTCTCTTCTGATTTTTTCCCCTGATTTTTGCTCTTCCCCACAATCCTATTCCCAAGACACACTCACTAAGGGAGGGATGGAAAGAGAGCTTGTTTTTGATTTTGAAAAAGATGGATTTAAAACCTGGCTCTTTCAAATACTAAACATGCTTAATAGGCATGCTACTGAATTGCTCTGTGTCATTTTTAATATCTGTAGAATGGACATAAAGTACCCACCTCATGAATCTGGTGGGTAGACTACGTGGGACGAGGGACACAGAGCACCAAGTGCATATCTGAGCACGGGGTAGGGACAAGAACAGGCAGTGCTATCCCCACCTTTTCCACCCATGATCACCAAATGTTCACTGAGCTCTCCTATCAGCCTGGCTTCATTATACAGAGGGCCTGAAGAATGTGCCTCCCCATAATTGTGGGGAAGGAAGAGTGCATTTGAATGGAGAGATGAGAAGAGCTGGACATTTGCACAAATATTGACAAGGTTTTCATACAACCCACAGGCTCTCAGAAGAATCTTAACTGGAACTAGTACTCATGAAAATCAGCAGCCCCTGTATTACTTGAGATGCCGGGAGAGCCATTGTATCAGCCACAACCTGTGTCTTCAGTGTCCATTGTGTGTCAGGTCCTGATATGTGTGAGGGGGGGAGGGGGTGGAAGGAGGGGTAGAGCAGGAAGGGCTGATAGCATAATGTGTAAGACTGGCCTGAAAGCGCTAATCTTACTTGTTGGGAAGGCTCATCTCGCAAAGACCAGGAGACAGAGATCGTTGCAATCAAGCAAGAGGTTTTTTATTCCAGCATGCTGGGGACACTCTGTCTTTGGGACAGAAGTGGCCCCGAGCTCTTAACACAAGCACTTTTTATACAGTTTGGTAGGCAGACTTTGGCAACAGGATGAGTTGTACACAGCTTATTGGTCACCTGAGGTGACTTTTAAATTTATTGGTGGCACACAGGCGTGGGACTGAGGACTTGATCCATCCCCTAGTAGTTAGGCCTTTCCTGGAATTGGGTGTACTTTGGGTTCTTGGAATGGCTCACCCCTATGGTGGTTAGGTCCTTCCTGGAAATTCCCTTTCCCCTGGCAATGGAAAGTTCCAAATACCTGGTATTGGTTCTGCAAAAGCGAGCACAGCTGGCCTACAGAGGCTGAAATATGCAAGTTTACGCAAAGCATAAAACTTCCCACAAACACATGTATTAAAGAAGCTTTTGGGTAAGGGTCTTTATTACACCTAGGTATAAGGGCAGGAAGTGTGGTTACTTGAAGAGGGGTCTTAGAAAGCTAGCCTGTTTCTCATCTACACAGGAAAGAGCTGAGAGCTGACAG